TCGTGTCCAAGAAATCAGAACACTTACAAAAATAGAAGATTGGCATTACATCCCTTCGGAGCTGAATGCCGCCGATCTCCCTTCTAGAGGCTGTTCAGTTAAACAGTTTTTGCTGTCGAAATGGTGGGAGGGCCCATCATGGCTGTTAGAACCAGAATCGTCATGGTCAAGAGGCACCGATTTGCCGGACGAAGAGATCATAAATTCAGAAAGGCGTAAATCAGTATTGACAACTCTTAACAAAGATTCTAAACCTGACAATTGGTATTACAGGTACTTTTCATCCATAAAGAAAATTGTACGCATGTTAGGTTGGATTCTTAGGTTTTACTTTAAATTACGAAGAATTACAAACGAAACCTCCAAAATTTTGTCAGTTTCGGAAATTGAAAGAGCTGAGATAACTCTTATGTTATTGGTTCAAAGAGAATCATTTAAGAGTGTGAACGATGATAAAATTAAAGACCTCAGACCTATAGTTGATCGTGATGGTTTGATCAGAGCTAAAACCAATATTTCTTATCGCGACGATACTGATGACTTTAAGTTTCCTGTCATTTTGCCATCTGATCATGCAGTAGTAAACTTACTAATAATGAATGCACATAATGAGCTGCTGCATGCTGGTACTTCTATGGTGATGTCTCATTTGCGGGAAAAGTATTGGATCCTCAAAACTCGTAAGACAGTACGAAACTGCATTAGAAAATGTGTTAAATGTCAAAGATTTAAATCCAAAAGTTGTGATGTAACTCCAGGAATTTTGCCGAAAGATAGAGTACGTGATGCAAATGTTTTTGAGATAGTGGGTGTCGATCTGGCAGGACCCCTCTACCTTAAAGATGGTCGAAAAGCTTATATTGTTCTTTACACATGTGCGGTCTATAGGGCCATTCATCTGGAGTCAGTAACATCCTTGACAACTGAAGCTTTTTTCCAGTCATTGAGACGTTTCATTTCTCGTCGCGGAAGACCATCTATAATATACTCAGACAATGGCAGTAATTTTAAAGGAGCGGAGAGCCTTCTGCATACAATTGATTGGGAGAGTCTGCGATCAAAAGCCGCTGAGCAAAGAATTCAGTGGAAATTTATTCCTCCTTCCGCACCTTGGTGGGGCGGTTGGTGGGAACGTTTAGTTCAAATGGTGAAACAGATTCTGAGAAAAGTTCTAGGTCGTGCTGCCCTGGATTACGAGGAGTTGCTTACAGTACTATGCGACTGTGAGAGAGTAATCAATACTAGGCCACTTACCTACGTGTCGGAAGACGTTGAAGATTCATCCCCATTAACTCCAGAAATGTTCCTGCGGGAGATTTCCAAATCAGGAGTACCTGATATCGATACAGTGGATAAGGAAAAACTGAGTAAACGAGCTAAGTATCTACAAAAGGTGAGAGAACAACTTAGAGCAAGATTCCGTGTGGAATATCTAGGACAGTTACGTCAGCAGTCCATTAAAAACTCTATAGCTAAACCTCTCCAGGTGGGTGAAATTGTTCTACTTGAAGATAACAACAAAAAACGTGCTTTTTGGAACCTGGCGCGTGTCATAAAGCTGCTACCTGGTCGTGATGGACAAATAAGACTTGCTGTCATAAAAACAGAGACTTCTGAGTTTCTGAGACCAGTGCAAAGACTGTACAGACTTGAGCTGGATAACCCAGTCCAAAAGGATATGACTGAAAATATTCCTATGACTACCAGCAGTGGTAGAACTGTGAAACCAGTGATACGTCTGTGAAATGTTTTGTACTTGTTTGAATACTTTGTAATAATTTGATTTATTTTTTTTTATTTTTCTAGGTTTAGTATTATCTGTTAATATGTCTAGAAAATTATGGAATGCTGCATCTCCAGGTAAATTTGTATTTCAATTTAATTAGAACATCTTGGTAGGCATAATTTTATACTTCAATGTTGTATACTGTACTATTATGCATATATTATACTTAACAGATGTGTGAATTTACCTCCCAGTAAATTCAGGTGGGAGGAATATGTAGCGAATAGTTTATCCAACAGATGGCAGTATCTGCCAAGCTCCTTTGGTAATTGTCATTGCGCATGCGCAAGCGGAGTGTAAAAAGAAGTATGTTATTAGGAGAATGAGCTTTCGTAAATAATGTTGCTGCGCGTTTTCGCTGTGTAAATAAAAGTATATTTTTATATCATAGATGTTCTTTACTCTCTAATGCGAAGCACTAGGTTAGTGCACGAATCTCTTCTGATTCAGAAACCATTTTCAAACCGTGGATCACCACAACAATAGTAGCTAGTTAGTAGCTTTTGCTGACAAGTTTACTTTGTCAATTGGAATGAATGATCAAATTTCCCTTCTTTTATTGCTCTTTACGTTACATAAAATGCACTAATTGTTACTGTATAAATTCTAGAAAATCACTACAACTTAGTTACTTACAGCTTGCAATTACAAAATTTACCATTCAAGGTAATATAATAAAATGTGCACTTGACATGCAAAATAATTAGAACTTACAACTAATCTTTACAGTATGGTACCCCTTGTTTTTTTGTTTGAAAAAAACTGCCAAGGGGAGTTGTTGGTGAAATAGGTTTTTCGATAACCCTAATGTTGATAATGTCGGTGATGCCCTAGGGTTTTTTTTTTTGTTTTTTGTTTTTTTTTTTTTTGTTGTTGTTATTAAAAAGCAGATATTTCTGCAAATATCGCCAAATATATTGTGATAAATTTAGATTTTGGTTATTTTTTGTAACAGTAACCCTTTTGTATAGACCTGGGTTTTTGGTTCTTACCATTCTTTTCAACTGCTGTATTTGGTTGCACGTGCGTGGTATGGCCTTGTATTTTGAACTCGCTATTACTTTGCTGTGGGTAGCATCATTTGAGTATGTCTGAGGTGACTAAGAGGATGAATGTTGATGGGTTGGATTATGATGAAACTGTGAATTTGAGGTTTTTGTATGGTGGATGATGGATGAAAGAAATTTGATTTTTGCATGAAAGCTGGTTTACTTGCTGATAGATATGAATGAGCCAAAACGATAAAAAATTTCACTGAATTGCTTACATGAAAGATAGGGAAGATGGTGGTGGGAAGCCTAAACATATGCATGTGTAAAAAAAGCTATGTTAAAAAATATTGACGTTTCATTTATTTATTCGTTTCTGTGTTAGAAGATTTTTGTTAAAAGATTTGTCGTTTAATGTTTTTATGTTAGGAAATATGTATTTTTGGTTATTTATTTTTCTCTGTTTGTGTATTTTTGGTTATTTCTTCGTCTCTCTGTGTTAAGAGCGGCAAATTTTTTCTGGTTACCATGATAGTTTTAACTTTGTTTTAGATTCCTGATTTTGTTTAAGTGAAAATAGATCGATTTGTACACGGACAAAGTTAAGGCAGTGTGCAATAGTATAATTATATATATATAATATAGTTTTTTGTGAAATATCCAAAAAAAGACATCTCACTAAAAGGGTTAAACATTAGAAAAAATTTTTATAAGTAAGAATGGCTCTAGTGTAGAATTGGGTGCCCCTTTGAATGGCAACAAATTTTGTTCAATTTTGGTGATACCCCATATGATAAAGCCCCGCTTCTGGTTACCATGATAGTTTTAACTTGGTTTTAGCTTCCTATTTTTTTTTTTAAGTGAAAATAGATTGATGTGTACATGGACAAAGGCAAAGTGCAATGCTGAGTTTGTGCAATTCTCTGACTTTTTTTAAAGTGAAAATAGATTAATGGACACCGAGTTTGTGCAATTCTTGGACTTCTTATTTTGGTTTTGTATAGCGGCCATCTTGAAATGTGCCTTCCTGACGCCAATCTTAGCATCGAAAACGAATCGAAAAAAAAAAAAAAATAAGGGGCACCTAATTGTAAACTTTTACCGTAAGTACAAATGCTAAATCAAAGTTTATCTAAAAAAAAATTAATTTTTAAGAAAATCTTTCTTGTCAATTAGTCACGAAAAGTAATGAAATGAAACTTATACAAGTCACTAATAAAATAATCATGTTCATTAAACACCATTTTATATCCTATCAATTAAATATCACATTAAAATAAATACCACAGTAACTGATTTAATATCATGGTCATTAAACACCTTTTTATATTCAAACCAATTAATGAAAGTTCCTGCTATCACTCAAGACTATTTTTTCTCCAAGTTTCTAATACTACAAAGAAGAAATTTTTTGGATTCTCCAGATACTGTTTTTCGGTGTAGTGCAGAATTACCATTTTTTTCAATGCACCAAACATAATGTGCCACTTGGCACATTATGCTTGCCGCTTTTTAAAAGAGTAAGAATTGGAATTTTGTCAATTTCCTTTGACTTTATACTTGAAAATACATCGATCTGTACATGGGCAAAGTCAAGGGAGTGTGCAATGCCGAATTTCTGCAATTCTCTGATTTTTTTTTTAAGTGAAAATAAGTCAATGTTTACATGGACACGGAGTTTCTGCAATTCTTAAAAACGCACCAACTAGTGGGTGATTCTGCACTTACCCCAGACAATTAGCCTTTAAAAACAATGAAAACTGGTATTTATACTACCAATAAAAATTAATATATTTAATTATTAATATGAAAATACTGGATCATGTTTTACTGTATGCTAAGTTTTGTGTATATATGCATGACAGAAAAGTATTAGTACCTTGTTATAATGTTTCAAGTGGATGACCAAAGCTGTTTATTGTGAAATATTAGGAGCTTCGGAAATATAGAGAACAGTATTTTTGTAATCTGTCACTTTTTAATCTTGGTTACAATAGCATCAAATTACGAGAAATATTACTAAGCAATTATAATGATTTGCTTTTTAAGCAGACTTCATTAAAATATGGAAGCTTCTTTTGAAAATTATAAAACTTTATGTCCAGAAAGTGCATAATGTATAACCTCAACTCATGCTTATTAAGCAATTTCAGCCTGGAAGCGTAGCCGTACAGCTCTACAAGTTTACGAAAACCTTTAGATAATTTAGTATGTAATTCGCATACCTGTTACAAGATAATTCATAATTAAACGATTCATATCAGCTCGCTGCATATGCAAACTCCTGATCTTCTGTAGCCACTCGCTTACTGATAAGTCATCTGACTTTTCTATAGCTGTTGATCCTGAAGACAGAAAATAAAAAAAAAAACTTCGTCAACGTGACATTTCATATAAATATAACTAATGAATTATATTACAATCACGCAACCATTACGTTCATGTTTAATACAACCTAAAATTCTAGTTGCGATTTAAAACAAAAAAGAAATAATAATTGAGCACCCCGTTCTTACGCGGTTTGATATGGCTCATGATAATGTAATCAATCAGTTCAGCAGCAGCTAACATGTAACGCGTAGCGAACAATTTTAAATTATGAAAATATTAAGAGGAATGTAAAATCAGAAAACAAAGTTTTCAACCTAAAGATTTTCATTAAAAAAAGACAGACAGACAAAATAGACAGATGTCTTGTTTTGCACCTGTTAAGTCTTTCTGCTCCGATGGGCTAAAGACAAAGCTTACGTACGAAGAAGAAGATACAAAAAGAGGAACATTTCATATTTCAGAGAAGACTAAAAACACAAGGATATTTTATTCAATTATGTGTTACTTTTAATTTAATACTCTTTGTTGGGAACAGCTTTAGTATAACTCAGCCAGAATTTTAACCAAAACATATCGCCAAGAGTGACGATAAGTGATATGATGTGACAATCCACAGCGCTTTACGAGCATGTGGTAATCCGTACTATTTGGCAAACGCAATGCATTTATTCAATTTCATGAAAGTTAAATGCATATGCTCCTATATTCTTACTTTTCCGACATAGCTTTTTGTTAAAATTTGTCTCGCGCTGCTTTACACCAAGGCAAACTAGATATTTAGTTGGCCTTGATTGCAAGGGGATTTTTAATTAGAATTCTACTAAAATTAACTATCTAAACACAAAATTCGTAACACTATTTTCGGCGATTGTTTAACTTTCAGATTTTATGCAGAATATTGTTTTGGAGATAAAATGTTTGCATTTAATTATGCTTTGCACTAAACCTGCTGTTAGTGATGTTGACATTAAGTATCAGGAGATTTTCAAGGAAAATTTAAGGTGGAAGTTTTCAAACAAGCGTAAAAGTTTGGGAAATCCAGGCATTCCAAACAGATAGTTTATGTATGAATTAACAAGAGAGTATGAACGTTTTAGAGGATTTTTGATGGATTGTGGGTTATTGAAGGATAAAGTTTGTTGTGTAAACTGTAAGACACCATGCAAAGGTATCTTACATTTGGGAAAGCCAAGTAAAGATTTTCCGGCATTGTTTTTTAAAATTACATCCTTTTAAACGCAACCATTTTCATTAATCATTCCTTAATACTTTTTTCTTTTAAAATCGTGCATATAGTCGAAAATTTATTCCTATTATCCACGATTTCTGGTGAAATCAAGATGGCCGCCATTTTTGAAACACGGAGTTTCGTCGAAAATCTTGATGGTAACCATTTTTCAAAACAACGTATTTCAGCGCTTTGGCGAAAAAAAAAAAGTCTCCAAACTTTGAAGATGGGCTATACTGAAGCTGTTTCCTTTGCTGTGCACAAGCGCCTAGATATTTGGTTCTCATTTATCCTAGAGTTCCATACTGTTTTCGCTTGTAGTATGTAACTTCCGGTTGTGGGAAGGAATCTCAAATGATCGAACGGAAATCCTGGTATTGCAATTTTCGTAGTCGACTGCTTACAATCTAATTTGATCAAACATGTCTAATCACTTTGTTTCACTCCTGAAAAGAATAGTTCAAACAAAACGATCTTTTTCAGGATCAGATTATCACTTTAATAAAGGGCCCCTTTTTATAGGCTCAAGTGTTCAATCTGATGAAAAAAAAATGAGAATAATTCAGATCTTTCTACGGATCCGATCACATAAAACAAGCTTCCATGCAGGTGTGAGAAAACCTTTTTTTCCAAATTTAATTTGAAGAGGCATGTAATAAAATGCCATCCAACGGATGAACACATATTGCATTTTCTTCCGCAAAGGATCCGTTGGCGCTTCCTCAGCGGATCCGTTGGCGGCGGTGTGTATTTATTCGCCAAGCTCGCCAATGCTAATTGGCCATGATTTTAGCGGTGTACAGTTAATTTGCACATGGAAGCTGAACAATATTTTGACTCTAATATTTTTGTTTATATTTTTCTAACTGCAGCTTCTGAGTAATATTGCACAAGCTTCAAGCAGATGTAATCGTTATCTTTACTCTATAGGTTTTTTTTATTCATTATTTATTCATATTATTATTATCTATGTTTTGTAACAGTTTATGTTTCATAGGATGGCAACATACTATGATGTTGTTCTCTTTTAGAGAGTTAAGTGTAACTTTTGTTTTCATCATTTGAGAGTATGAATAAAAGAACTATTTAATTATTGTAGAGTGTTAAATAACTAAAAAGGTATAGATAGTTATTTTCGAGTAATAAATAGTTCTTGAGGTAACAAATTTGGTGAGAATTTTTGAACATTTGGCGTCCGCTGACTGGACTGTTATCTGTAAGTAGAATTCTTTCGTTTATTTATAATGGATGTTTTGAAGTGCAAACGATCTCAATTTAGGAGATTGTTTACAAAAGCTTTAAATGATTTTGAGAAGAATGAAAATGATTTATCTTTAGATGGAACGAAACTTAAATTACTTGAGGACAAAGCAAAGTAGTGAGCAAAAAGAGAAAAATGTGTCAACACATTGCATGGATTTAGATGGTTTGCTTTCATTTTTGCTCGATGAAATTGAAGGTGAAGAGAGAGTATCTATAGCTACTCAGTGCGTTACTAAATATCAGACACCTAAGCCTGGGAATGCTAAACACTTTGGTTTCAAAAACCGTGGAGAATTTTCCAAAACACCTTCTGCTTTCTCTACTCTAATAGCAATATCTGAACAAAATTTCAAACTGGATGTATTTTTTGTGCTGGAAATCATGCATCTGGTGATTGCTTTAAAGCAAGAAAGATGACGTCTGAGGAAAGGCAAAAAGCAGTTCTAAATAGTCGCAGTTTCCTTTTTATGTTTAGACAGAAAACATGTAATAGCTAAATGTAAAAAACGAACATCGTGTGTGATTTATGGGAAGAAACACCACATATTTTTATGTAGAAATATCCAAGCTGAATCAAAATCTCCAGTTCCTGTTAGCATGAATAAGGATTGATGAAAATACGGATGCAGTACCTGAACGAGATGAAACCCTCGCCAATTTGGCGAGAACAACAAATGTGTTTTTGCAAACTTTTAACGGTTACATTGAAAGGGCGAGATAGAAAGCGCCAGGCCCGTGCTATTATCGATTGAGCTTCACAAGAGATCTTATATTTTAAAAAGCACTGCAGATGAAATGAAATTTGAGAGTACATCTAAAGAAAGATTGAGCTATTCATTATTTGGCGGGTCATGTACTGATCTCATAAACCACGATGTTTTTACAGTGTTCTTGTCTAAAACGGATGGAACTTATCATTGTAACTTCAAAGCTCTTAGCCAAGATATTATTTGTGGAAGTATACCACCAGTTGCTATTGGCGAGTGGATTCAAGAGCTTAAAGAGAACAATATATTCGTATGCGACTATAGTAATGGAACCAATAGAAATACTTATTGGCGCTGACATTGCAGGCAAGTTGATGACCGGAAGATTTAAATTGCTTACTTCAGGCCTTGCTGCTATAGAAACAAAATTTGGTTGGACTCTTTTCGGGAAAAATGGTATGCGTGAGATCTCGGACAATTCCGCACTGCTCGTCACATCCATGTTGAATAAGGAAATATCGATATCCGATCTATGGTCTCTAAATTCACTTGGAATTCTAGATCCATCAGAGAAGAAAAGTAAACTTACAGATACATTTGAATTCAGAATTCTGCTATTTTGCCAAGTGATCATCCTCTTATAAGAAGATCCGCTTATAAGAAGTGCAAAATGGAGAAGTCATAAGAGCTGTACAAAATCTTTATCCTTTGGAATTATCAACTGCCGAGGAACTTCCATCGAAATTCAGCGGAAGTCAATCATGCGAAAATATTTCGGTAGAGCAAACTCCAATTGATGATGTACCTGTAGAAACAAATAGAATAATCCATACCCATTTAAAATCGCCCACGATAACCAAATCAGGAAGGAAAATTAGAGTTCCTCATCGATTGGACTTGTGAGAACAATGTTTAATTTTTTATTGTTTTGCAATACTCAATCCCGAATTTCATATTGCAAGGTGGGAGGATGAACAATATTTTGACTCTAATATTTTTGTTTATATTTTTCTAACTGCAGCTTCTGTGTAATATTGCACAAGCTTCAAGCAGATGTAATTGTTATCTTTACTCTATAGGTTTTTATTATTCATTATCTATGTTTTGTAACAGTTTATGTTTCAGAGAATGGCAACATACTATGATGTTGTTCTTTTTAGAGAGTTAAGTGTAACTTTTGTTTTCATCATTTGAGAGTATAAATAAAAGAATTATTTAATTATTGTAGAGTGTTAAATAACTAAAGAGATATAGATAGTTATTTCGAGTAATAAATAGTTCTTGAGGTAACAAATTTGGTGAGAATTTTTGAACAGAAGCCATGATTTTAGAGATGTATACAGTCAAGTTATAAGATAGTTAGCATACTGAAGTAAAATAAACAGGTTAACCATGACATTTAAAGCGTATAAATTAAAAATAAACTATATTAAACGCGTGTAAATTAAAGTTAGCAGGAAAAGACATATCATCAGCCGGCTAAACATGATATTTAAAGCATATAAATGTGGTATCTGTAAGAGCAACACACCCTCCAGAGGGCCTCACCTATGTGGCAGCAGCGAGAGAGGGTTAAAGAGGAGTATGACCCATATAGACAGACAGTCTTCTATCCCACGCGAAGGTGGTAAGATGTCTCCACGAGAAGGTGATAAGACATGATAAAGCGTATATAGTAATACTTAGGCTTACCATATTTGATGTCTCTTTTATTAAATTTGTACTGGTCCTGTAAAGGACTTCCTTTTCTAAAAAAAAAAAAAAAAAAAAAAAAAAAAAAAAAAAGAGAAAAATTTGCTGGTAAGGAAATTGCTGGAGACCTGTTATGCTACAGGAAAAGAATCCTTGTCTTTTATCGATGTTCGATGTGCAGAAACATTCAGTTTGATGCTAACACAATCAAAAGTATTGTCTCAGATCAATAATAACTTACAATAAGCAGCTACAACATTGAAAATAAAGTATGTGCTTAAATCTCTGTTGAACTTATTATTATTCCCTTATACTATAAACAAAGTTCAGAGGTGGAAACATAATTGCTGCTTCACTTTTATATCTCTGTTAAATTCAAAGTTTTGTAAATGTTATAAAACAAATATTTTCAATAACACATTAAAAACACTTAAAAAACAAATAGCAAAATAATTGT